AATTAGACTTCTTACATTTTTTCCTGGGAATGTATATATCTCCAAATACAGACGTGACCTTCTAGAATTCCAGGAATCTATCAGAGCTTTTCAAAGACCCACTGTGGTTTCTCTCATTACCAAACTTACCTTTTAATTATTTGCATGATACCTGTTTGTCCCAGATGATATTGTTGATTTGGGAATTTGAGCTGTTAAATTATGACTAGGTTCAGAGATATAGGTCAAAGAGCTAGAGTGACTACCTGGCATGAACAGGCCCCTTTTACCATATGGACTCTCAAACACCACCACATATAGCCCTGGTGACCCCTGTTACTGCTGGAAGGTCCCCCCCCAAAATTATAACTGTTTCCAACAAATGCCCTATATAGGGCCTTCCTCATTGAGTGAGCTCTGAATCAGGTGAAATAATTCCTCTGAATTGGTATTTCCTAGGGATCTGCTAGACAGATCAAAAAATAAATTTTGGGGTATGAAAATTTTTTAGGAGTTCCAAAACTATTTTGTCTTTTCCAATGATGACTAAACTACTCTTTTTCACTACTAGTGTAGTTACACACCAGCTTCTATTCAAGGCTACCATGGAGATAGTAATGCAAGAACAAGAATTGGAACACAACAAAGCTTACTGTTCTTCCTGAGATTCAATTATTTTTCTTGAATAAACTGTGTAGGTTGCTTCAGGCCTTTGTCTAGCTAGCTTTGTTACTGCTCTTATTGCATTCATGCAGATATTTTTATTGAATCACCATAAATTATAAAGCTACAAAGACATTCATAATTGAGTTTCAGGTGTACAATGTTCCAACATCAATCCCTTCACTAGTGTCCACTAATCCTCACCAATATACCCAGTTTCTCTCCCACCCTAGCCTGCCTCTGGAGCAGGCACTTTTCCCCTCTTTATCTTAATGTTCCCTTCCCTAACTTATACCCCCAACTCCTGCCTTAGTGAGTTGCTTCCTACTGAAGATGAGTTCTCCTGCTCTTTGTTTCTGTTGGCTTTGGTCACTTGATTTTCCCCTACGAAGTTTCCTTATATCCCACATATGAGAAAGATCATTCTGAGTCTGTTACCTCCCTCTAATTTTACTCATGATACTTTCCATATCCATCCATGAAGCTCACATTGCTTGATTTCACCTTTACTTACAGCCATACAGTATTGTTATGTATATATGTACCATAGTTTCTTTATCCAGTCATCTGTTCTTGGACATTTGAGTTTTTTCCATATTTTGGCTATTGTGAATAGTGCTCCAGTAAACATAAAAGTGCAGATGTCTTCTACTGCAATGTACTTTGGGGCACTTGGGATATATTTTTAAGAGTGAAATTGCTGGGTGATATGGAAGCTCAATTCTTATTTTTTGAGAAATGTCCATATTTTCTTCCAAAAAGACTGTACCTATCAGCATTCTTACCAGCAGTATATGTGAGTCCTTTCCCCTCCCCCCAACATCCTCATCAACACTGGTTGTTGCTGTTTTTGATGAGTGCCAATTTCTGGTGTAAGGAGAGAGAACCTAGAAGGAGTGGATAACTTCTTGAACTCCTGTAACTTTTGTTTGGAGAGAGACTTTTTATTATCAGTTTGATTTTCTCAGTAGTGACAGGTCTGTTTAGGTGTTCCATATCTTCTGTTCAGCTTGAAGACTATATAGGAGCTCAAGCATTTATCCATTTCTTCTAGGTTCTCTCATTTTGTGGCATAAAGTAATCTCTACTGATCCTTTGAATTTCTGTGGTATCTGTTGTAACATCACCCTTTCATTTCTGATCCAGTTACTTAGGGTTCTCTCTTCGTGAGTCTTGCCAGTGGTGTATTGATATTATTTTTCCAAAGAACCAGCTCTAGATTTTGTTAATCTTTTGGATTTTTTATTGCAACTTATTAATTTCTGCTTAAAGTTTCATTATTTTCTTTCTCCTGGCTGCTTTGGACTTATTTTATTGGTTGTTTTCTAGTTTATTTCTTTTGTTGTTTGTTTGTTTGTTTGTTTGTTTTTGGGTTACAGGGGTTAGTCCTAGCTCTGCTGCTCCAGGGACTATATGGGATACCGAGGATCAAATGTGTCAGCCATGTGCAGGGCAAATACACTATCCACTGTACTATCACTCCAGTTTATGTTTTCCAGTTTCTTAAGCTGTGCAGTTAGGTTATTTTATATATGGGCCCTTTCTTGTTTCCTGATGAATAAATAGCTGTGAGTTTTCCTAACATCACTTTTGCTGTGTCTCATAAGTTCTGGTAGTTCATGTTCTCATTCCCATTTGTTTCCATGAATCTTTTGTTGTTGTTGTTGTTGTTGTTATATGTTTTATTTATTTTTTTATTGAATCACTGTGAGATACGCAGTTACAAAGCTATTTGTGATTGGGTTTTAAATCATACAGTGTTCCAACACACATCCCTCCACCAGTGTACATTTCCCACCACTAATGTCCCAGTTTCCCTCCCACCCAACCCCAGCCTGCTTCTCACGGCAGGCACTTTTCTTCTCTCTCTCTCTCTCTCTCTCTCTCTCTCTCTCTCTCTCTCTCTCTCTCTCTCTCTCTCTCTCTCCCCCCCCCCTTCCCTCCTTTTTAGTCATTATGGTTTTCAATACAGGTACTGAGAGGTTATCATGTTTGTTCTTTACCTACTTTCAGCATGCAGCTCTTGTCCAGAATGATCTTTTCCAAATATCATTGTCATAGTGGTCCCTGCTCTATCCCAACTGCCTTCTCTCCCCAGCACTTGAAGCGAGCTATCAACTGTGGACCAGTCCTCCTGGCTTTATTTCTACTGTCTTTTGGTATTAGTTTCATGCAGTTTTTTTATATCCCACAAATGAGTACAGCTATTCTATGTCCCTCTCCTTCTGACTCATTTCACTCAGCGTGATAGTCTCCATGTCCATCCATTTATAAGCAAATTTCATAACTTTATTTTTCCTGGCAGCCAGATTGATAGCACAGCGGTAGGGCGTTTGCCTTGCACGCAGCCAACATGGCCGACCCGAGTTCGATTCCTCCGCCCCTCTCGGAGAGCCCGGCAAGCTACTGAGAGTATCTCGCCCGCACGGCAGAGCCTGGCAAGCTCCCCGTGATGTATTCGATATGCCAAACACAGTAACAACAAAGTCTCCAATGGAGACGTTACTGGGCCCGCTCGAGCAAATCGATGATCAACGGGAGGGCCTTTACCTTATTTTTCCTGGTGGCTGTGTAGAATTCCATTGTGTAGATATACCATAGTTTCTTTTCCAAACATCTGTTCTAAGGCATTTGGGTTGTTTCCATATTCTGGCTATTGAATAGCACTGCAGTGAACATGTGAATGCAGATTGTTTTTTCTGCAGTGTGTTTTTGCGTCCCTGGGTTTATTCCTGGTAGTGGTATTGCTGGGTTATATGGCAGCTCAGTTTCAAGTTTTTGGGGGAATGCCCATATTGTTTTCGAAAAAGACTGGACTATTCGGCATTCCCATCAAAAATGAATGAGAGTCCATTTCTCCCCACATCTGCGCCAGCACTGGTTGTTCTTGTTCTTTTTGATGTGTGCCAGTCTCTGTGTTGTGAGTTAATACCTTATTGTTGTTTTGATTTGCATCTCCCTGGTTAGTGATGAGAGCTTTTTTTTTCATGTTCCTTTTGGCCATTTGTATAACTTATTTGAGGAAGTTTCCGTTCATTCCTTCTCTCCACCGTTTGATGGAGTTGGATGTATTTTTCTTGTTAAGTTCTGCCAGCGCTTTCTATATCTTTGATCTTTACCCCTTATCAGATGGGTATAGGGTAAATAATTTTTCCAATTCCATGGTCTGTGTTTGTATCTTGATCACTATTTATTTCTTTTGAGGTACAGAAGCTTCTTTTTTAATGTAGTCCCATTTGTTTTGCTTCTATTTGCTTGATCAGTGGTGTTTCATCTTTGAAGATCCCTATAGCTTCAGTGTCATGGAGGGTTCTACGTATGTTTTCCTCCAGGAATCTTTTGATTCCCTCCCTGACCCACTGGTTGTTCAGTAGTGAGCTATTTAATTTCCAGGTGTTTTTAATTATCACTTCGTTTCTGTTTGTGGGCTTCTATTTTCAGTGCATCATGGTTAGAGAGAATAGTTGATATGATTTCTGCCCCTTTTTTTGAAGGTATGTTTTGTGGTCCAGCATGTGGTCTATCATGGAGAAAGTCTTCTGTGCAGTGAAGAAGAATGTATATTTGGCTTTTGGAGGATTAAAAGCCCTAGTTGTATCTTCAAAGCTACTCTCTTCTAATTAGAAGCAGATTTCTGAGGGGACTTACTCTTCCACTCCTAAACTTAGCTTCCCCTTTCAATGTATTCTTTAACAACCAAGTAAGCAATTTGTATAGTAAGTTCTCAAGAGCCATGTACCAAAGATTCACCCACCGACTTAGTTGGATACCAGTTTTCTGGATTCTAGCCATTCCATGATCTGGGCTTTAGGCTCTGGTCTCAGTGTATACAGAACTGCGTTTGTTCTGGCCAGTTTGAATCTGCTCCCATTTGTGCAACAAAAGTGCCTAACTTAGCTCTCATGTAGCACTCTAACAGAAAATCAGTTTAGGATTTGAAAAGAATGAAATAAGAATAATAAATTGCGGCGGGGGGGGGGGGGGAATCAGTTCACAAAAAGAATCAAAATCTATTGATCCCACCCATTCTCTTAGTCTAGAGATTTAGTATTTTCCAGTATGGAACATAAGAGTCTCTAGGAATATTGGAATAATTGCTGAGGGAGCAGGTAGTAGTAGCCTCAAGTGCAGTTGGGATTGGGGAGTGCTTTCTGTCAGTTCACTTTTAGGAGAGTAAGGAGGGTGGGAGGGGTGTGTGGTTGTGGGAGCACTAAGTGATATTTGTTTTTCTGGAAAGAGGGCTTAGGCTAGATAAGTTTAGGAACCTCTGGTCTAGATATCAGGAGGGGACTTAATGCAGAAATGTATGCTTCAGTGGTAGTGACGGTATCTCACATCTCAATTTCCTCTCTGGTCAGGAATTTCTGCTGAAGATTTTCTGTGTATTCCGGAACCTAATGAAAATGAGTGTCTTTCCTCGGGACTGGATGGTAATGAGACTTCTTACAAGCAAGTAAGTATGGAAAGACTCTGAACCTGCATCCATAGAGTTGTATGCACATAGGAAAAGCATAAAGAACTTAAGTTCAAGGCCTTGTGAATTCATCAGTATTTAGTCAAAGTAAGCTCAAGAAAAGAGTCTAAGGAAGACCCAAAAAATGGAGTAATTGTCTGCAAAATGATATTATGATAAAGATAAAAAATAAAATATTAAGGATAACTTAGTAAAGGGCTCATTCTTTTGAAAATTCTGTTTGTTGTTTCATAGACTACTGTTATTCTCTAGTTTCAGACAGTATCCCTTTCTCTGCTTTGTATTCTCTGTCAAACAGTTCTTGCCTCCTACGGCTACTACTAATTACCAACAGAGTCCTGTCTCTAAAGCTATGACCATTTCTTAGTCCAAACACAGAATCCATCCTAAGTTGTACCCCAAGATTTCCTGCCACTTTTATAATTCTAATATGTGCTCTCTCTTGGCATGAAGAATGAAGAAGAGATAAGATTCTGATTTGTCTTTCTCCCTCCACTTAGCAGAATACCATTTGGCCTTCACTTTCTAGATCACTGCCTCCCCCTGCCCCATTGTTCTGCTTTTTATGTTGGTACCGTGCAGGATGTGTTAGGTGTATTAGCAAAGAATCAACTTGTTCTTTATACTTTGTACCTTTTGTATTTTTTCAAAACTGCATTTTATACAAAATAGAAGCATCAGTTAAATCAAGTTACATAGATATTTTCTCAAATAGTTTGCTTTTAATTTTTATTTTGTTTTTGTTTTGGGGGAGCATACCCGGAAATGCTCAGAGGTTATTCCTGGCTCTGCACTCAGGAATTACTCCTGACAGTGTTCAGGGGGTCATATGGGATGCCAGGGATTGAACCTGAGTCAGCTCCTAGAAAGGCAAGCACCTTACCTGTTATTGTTTAAATTCTGTTTGAATTTTTCCCAGATTTCTTTTTATGGTTAATTTTTACTCTCAAAGCATTGTGGTCTGAGAAGTTACGTTGTATTATTTCTATTCTCTTGGTTTTATAGAGCCTTGTTTTGTGTTCCAATATATATTCTACTCTGGAGAATATCCCTGTGCATTGAATTAGAATGTGTATTCAGACTTTTGGGAAAGAAGAGACTTCTAAATGTCTGTCAAGCACATTTCTTCCTTTAAATTTTTCCATATTTATTTTTTGCCTAATTGATCTATGCAGAGATTAGTGGGAGATGTTAAAATCTACTTACTACTGTATTACTGTCACTATCTTCTCGCAGGTCTTTTATCAGTAGCTTTAAATATAGTGATGATATGTCATTTGACACATCTTAATGAGTGTTGAGTATTATTAATATGTAGATCTCTTGATCATTATATAATGTTCATCCCTGTTCCTTATAATGTTCATCTCTGTCCCTCATCCCTGTCCCTTATATTCATTTTTAATTTTGAAGCCTAACTTATGTAAGTATGACTTTTCATTCTTTTTAGGCTGCAATTACCCTATAAGATTGTTTTTTGGCCTTTAACTTTGTTTCCTTTTTTTGGGGGGGGGGGCGCATTTTTTGGGGTCACACCCAGCGAGGCACAGGGGTTACTCCTGGCTCATGCACTCAGGAATTACTCCTGGCGGTGCTCGAGGGACCATATGGGATGCTGGGAATCGAACCCACATTGGCTGTGTGCAAAGCAAATGCCCTACCCGTTGTGCTTTCACTCTAGCCTTTTTTTTTAACTTGTGAATTTTTTTCTTTTTTTTAAATTTAACAACAGTGTTACACACATTTACAAACTTGTTCATGATTGGATTTCAGTCAGATAATGTTTCGACACCCGTCCTTTCACCAGTATACTTTTCCCACTACCAGTGGTCTCAGTTTCCCTCCTGGCCCCCATCCCACCATCTCTCTCTTTCTCTTTCTCTTTTTCTCTCTCTCTTCCTCTCTTCCTCCTTTTCCCTCCCTTTCTCCTTCCTTCCCTCCCTCCTTCTTTCTCTCTTTCCTTTTGAGCCTTATGGTTTGCAATACACATAATGAAAGTTTATCAGTTATAGCTCTTTACCTGTGCTCTTCACCCCACACATATTCTTGTGGGAACTTCCAACCATTGACTTGCCTTCCTGGCCCCTGTTTACTCTCACCTTGGATATTACTCTCAATATCTATCTATCTATCTATCTATATACACATATACACATATATATACATATATACATATACGTGTGTGTGTCCCACGAAAGAGTGCAGTCATTCTATACCTGTCCCTCTACTTCTGACTCATTTCCTCAGTGTGATACTATGTATGTCAATCCATTTATAAGCAAATTTCATGACTTCATTCTTCCTAACAGCTGTATAATATTCCCTTGTATAGATGTACCATAGTTTCTTTATCCAGTCATCTGTTCTCAGGCACAATGTTAATTCTCTGGCCTTTTACTTTGGACCTATGCTTATCATTACCATTGAGGTATGCCTCTTGTAAACAGCATAAGATTGAGTTAAGTTTTCTGGCCCATCTGGCAACTCTTTGCTTTTTGATTGGCAATTTCAAACCATTACTCTTAAGCAAAATTATTTAAATACAAGGAATTATTGACATTTTTCGATGTGAATTCTGAGTATTGTGAAGTTCATCTTTGCTTCTTTGGTAAAAATAATAATCTAACCTCACCCCTCAAGGAATTAGAAAAGGAACAAGTGAAACAAAGTAGAAGGAAGGAAATAATAAGAGCTGAAATAAACAGAAAAGAAATGAAAAATACAGTGCAAAGAATAAGTGAAAGCAAGAACTGCTTTCAATAAGACCAACAAACGCTTAGCTAGGACAAACTAGGATAAAAAGAAGAGAAAACTGTAAAGATATAAAATATGAAAAGTTATAATAGGTACTGTATAAATACATAGTGTAGATTACAAAGGGTTACTGTGAACCACTGTTATCTACTATGAACCTACAGTGGTTCATAGTAGGCATTATAATCTCCAGTGCCTCTAAATTGGAGAAGTTGGGATGAGAGAGAAAGTACAGTAGGTAATGCACTTGCCCAGCCAGGCTTTGCACGCAGCCAGCCTGGGTTGAACTAAGAATATCTAGATGAGGCCCCAAACCTGAAATCAAAACTAAATAAATAAATGAACTGAGAAATGGCAAGTACAACCTCACAATATTGAGTCAGGAAATAGAAAACCTGAACAGGAAAATTAACAAGCAAGGGAATTGAAAAGGGAATAAAATAGTGTATTTTTTTTTCATTAGAATTCATCTTGTCTATACCTCTTCCTTTTTCAGAACACATCTCAGTATGTCCTTAGTCCATCCTGTAGGTGCAACTTCTTCGTTCAGTGCTTTGCCTTTCTATGCTAGCAAATTAGTTTCTCTAATTTACTATTCTTGTTTGCCCCTGTTCTGCACCAAAGGTCAGATGTCACTGTTAGGCATAAACTGCTTTATCAGGTAACCTAACTCTATATTCTGCCTGTGCCACTTTATTTTCTTTCCACTTTACCCTGTTTCCTCAGTTCTAGCAAGAGTGTCTCTCATTTTTTTCTCCTTATGTATTGCCAGCCTAAAATTGAAAGTAACATTCTTGGCCAAATCCTAAAATCAAATGACTTATAATGACAATAGTATTATATGACACAAGGATTTACTACTATACAACCATGTTACCAAATAAAATAATAAAATTATACTCCAGGTCCTCTGCTTACATAATGAACATAATGTATGTTCATTATCCGTTGGTTCCCAAAATATTTAGTATAACTCTAAACTTGAGGACACCTTTAATTATCCTTAAAACCAACATGCTGCTTTCCTTTTATGGGTAATAAAAGTGAAGTCCAGAGAGAAATACTACAAAGATCAGTTAATATCAGAGCTAAGTCTAGAACCCTTCAATGTCTTAGGCTCTCCTGCCAGCTATGGAGCATTTCTTTACAACTGGTTTTCTGTGGAGTTTTATGCCACCTATATCTTCCATTATAATCACATATTACGATATAAGAATAAGTTTTTTCTCATGAAGTTTTCACATAGGCAATTACAGTTGATGCTAAGCTATTGTATTCCATTGTTATCCTTTTAACTCTGCCAATACCTTGTTCCCTTGATGCAGTATTATAGTCACTACTGTCCAGTATTTGTCTTCTGCACTGCACAAGAATTTCACAGAGACAGACTTCGATTTTAAGGTAGGAGAAGCTGAAAGCCATCACTGTCTCTGCAATAACCATAAAGTCAAACTAGTTCATTGTTTGGGGTTTTGTTTTACCTATAAAAAGTTTTGTATTGTATTTATAATTTTGCAGGGCAGGAATTTGAAAGTGACTTTTCCTGAGTGTCAGGTGGGTAGCCAGGAAATGAGGGTAAACGTGTTGGACTCTGTTTCATTAGTATATTCATGTTATCAACTTTCAAGCTGATTATGATTAGAATATGACCTGGCAGCCCCTCTCTTGAAAGAATAGGAGCCTGACATCTATGAGTGTACTTTCTAGTATGAAATCAATACTATACTTCAGAGGAGTCAGGAAAGGAAAAAAATGTCCTGTTTACAAAAAAAAATTAAAGGAAAAAGTGGAAGTCTTAAATGGTAAAATAAATTATATACTATATGCATATAATTAGAATCTCTCCTTCCAAGGTTAAGGACTCAAGCTGTCATACATTTCATCCTTCTCTGATATCTCTAGGTGTGGAATTCTTATTTTAGTCTGGCAGTTTTGTTCATAAACCAGCCAAGTCTCCAGCTAGAAATCATCACTTCAGCCAAGAGGAAGAAAATTCTAGATAAGTAAGACATGTGTTTCTTATTTAACTCCCTACCCTTAAGGCCAGATGTGGTTATGTTTCCATTAGAAGTTCTTGCAAAAGTCAAAGTTCTAACTGAGTTAGCTTTCCAAAGGAGTCAAATGTGAGAGTTCAGTTAAGGTCTAAATAATTTAGCATTTTGGTCAGGGGGTAGGGAGAGCATCAGAAATACTGCTAAATTATTGGTCTTGGAGGTTTATAGCCTCCTCTTCCTGAATCTTCTCCTGCTAATAATTGTATCTTTTGTTACTTTTACCAGGTATGGGGACATGCGCGTGATGATGGCTTATGAACTGTTCAGTATGTGGCAGAATTTGGGTAGGTCTTCTTTCCAGACTTTCCCGTTTCATATATCTCACAGCCAAAGAAAAAGAGATAAGACTAGTAACTTCTCCCAGGTTTTATAAAATGTTAATTTAGATCCAAGAGATATTTACATATCTTTAACATAACACCTCAGATGGATAGTGTAGCACATGTGCACAAAGCACTTGGCAAAAAGAGTTGGGCTAAAAAATGAGATCTTAGAAATACATATGCATGTTACCTATTTTGAGAACTGAAGTCAAAAGAAGAAAGGGTACTAGTGGGTTTTTTTCCACTTAAGAATTTATGTCTCTAAGATACCTTTATGCTCTTCATGTCCTAGTCCAGATTTTGTAGGCATAAATACATAGATATTGAATATACTCATCACATAAGCAAGTAAATAACCAATTTTAATTAAAAGTACCAAGAAAGTAATATGCAGCATTAGCCTTAGGTCCAAAATTTGTTGCTTAGGTATCCAGAAGATGACTCAGTGACTTTAAAGCACTTTCCCAATAACCACAATTTCAAATATCGGTGCCATCACTTGCACTGAAGCAATAATGAGAGCTTGCTGATTTTTTTTTTTTGCTTGATTTTTATCCCTGCAAAACAAGGACCCAGAAGATGTCTCAGTGGTTAGGAAGCTCCCAGGACAAGACTGAGGCCATAAACTTAATCTCTAGAGCTACTGCTTGCATTGTTATGGTCCTAACAGCCCTGCTTTTTAGGAATCCCTGTCAAGGAGTTGGGGGGTTTTGTTTGTTCGTTTGTTTTTTATGGTTTGGGGCCATGCCTGGCAGTGCTCAGGCCTTATTCCTGGCTCTACACTTAGAGATCACTCCTGATGATGCTTGAGGGACCACATGTGGTGCTGGGGATTGAACCCAGGTCAGGCATGTGCAAAGCAAGCACTTTACTGGTTATACTATCTCACGGGCCCCAAGGAGAATTTTCTTTCCTTAGATAAACATTCCAGTGAGAGAACTTAGGGAGGCCACAGCCAGTAATGCTCAGAGGCTATTCCAGGCTTTGTGCTTGGGATTTCACTGCTACTGAGCTGGTGGTGTCAAGGAACAAACCTGAGTCTCCTACATGCAGAGCATGCTCTCAGCTCATTGCCCATCTCTCCAGATCCCCAAATGAAAGAAATCTTAAAAGACACAGAATTTGCCTGATAAAGCCCTTCTTGCATCAGTATTTTTGATTAAAATCTTATATTCTAGTTCTTAAAAACTGGGATACTTATTATAGCACACAAATCTACAGTTTGTCTTATTAGTCTATAAAGGATTGAAAGCAAAGTTGTTGAAGAGTACCCACTGTTTCTTCTTTTGAAAGAGCTAAAATTTTTGTCCTGTACTCCTCAGTACTGGCTCTGGCTTCTAAGAACTTGCCCCAGATGGCTGTTTCATCACAAGAATGTGATAGAACACATTCTTGTGATAGAACTCACATCACTCAGTTTTTAATTAAAGTGCCTCACAAAACAAGTTGAGGAATGAGCTAAGCTTGTCTAAGTAGATATTGAGGTGCCGTAAGACTTGTATAGTGGGGCTGAAGTAAAATAGCACAGCGGGTAGGACGTTTGCCTTGCATGAGACCAACCTGGGTTTGATTCCCACCATCCCATATGGTCCCCCAAGCACCGCCAGGAGTAATTCAGATTTATTCCCCCAGGCAGAGCCAGGAATAATCCTTGAGCATTGCCGGGTCTGACCCAAAAAGGAAAAAAAAAGACTTGTATATGAAGATAAATGACAGACAAAGAGAAAGTCTTGAAACCAGTCTGTCATGGTGTAGGGATTTAAGCGTGGTTAGTGCCAACTTGAAGAAAGGACACTTTTGATTTACAGGGAGTGCAAAGTGAAGAGCCTGATGAAATGGATTCTAAACAGTGGAGACATTATTTGACTGTCTGATTTCCAAGACTTTTGCATGTGTTTAAGTGGAAATAAATGGATATTCTTTGCTAACTAAATGGTATGAATAGAAAATTTTCATAGGTTGCTCAAAAATATCATTCTTTCTAGATTAGTGAACTCTTGGTCTCAGAATTATTTTCAGGTAACTTGTGGAACCTCATAGTGAATTCTTTGAAAATACAATTTGTTTTGATTCTATACTTTAGTTTTTTATTTGGGGGGACACAGAGCAATGCTCTTGTCACAGGAGCTACTCCTGTCATAGTGCTCAGGAATTGCTCCAGGCATTTTTAGGAGATCATGAGGTACTGGAAATTGGACCTAAATCAGCTGCATGCAAGGCACATGCTTTAACCTCTATACTCTCTGCCCTAGAAAGGCACTTACTTTATGCCTCTTGGACACTTGCTCTGATTGGACTAAACCAACGTTATCCATTAACTCTAAAAATAAAGGAGTGTCTCTGTAGTTTTATTTTTTCTTCGATGCTTCCAATGACCATCAAATAAATGCTGTGATTGCACTTCAGAAGCTTGCATGTAAAGTAAAAAACAAGCACAAACTCATATCTGTTGGATTTTGTTATCCAGGTGAACATAAGATCCACTTCATTCCTGGAATGATTGGCCCCTTTCTGGGTGTGACCCTGGTCCCACAGCCAGAAGTGCGGAACATTATGATTCCCATCTTTCATGATATGATGGACTGGGAACAGAGGAAAAATGGCAACTTCAAACAGGTAAGATGATGGATAGCAGGTAAGGTCATAGAAACACCTGGCAGTGTTCAGAGTGCTGTCCTCTAAAATAGAGAATAGGTCCCTTTTGCCAGGCAGGTTATCCAGATGAACAGGCCATGGTTTCCATGGAAATCAGTGATAGCCTGGCTTTCTCCTAGTCTGTTCAGGGATTTTTCCTTTTTTAATGGCCAGAGTTGATTTGTGAATTTCTTCACAAAGTTTCCCTCAAATCAGATCAAATCCCTACCCCACCCTCCAACCCCCAACTAACCCAGGAGAGTTCCCTGGAAGTGTGATGTCCTTCCCTAGATATGGTATGTGCAGTTCTAGAGCTATTAAAGCTGTACATTTCTTCCTGGTTGTTTTCTGCCTGATTATAAAAATGCACCTTTCTCCTAAATTGTTCTCATGCAGATATTCATAATAGTCTATTATAACTGCATTTCTGTAGTACTGGTTATAACTTTGCCTCTTTCATTTTAGATTATTTTCATCAGGGTTTTCTCTTTTCATGAGCATACAGAGGAGAGCTTACCAATTTTATTGATCCTTTCAGGAGAAAAAAAAAACCTCTTGGTTTTATTGATTTTTTTGTTAGTTTTTTGGCTTCTATTTCTTTTTTTCACTTAAAATTTTAATTCCTTCCTCTGCTGATTTTTTTATTCTATTTGCTCCTCATTTTTATAGTTCCTTCAGGTGTAAAATTATTATTTTTTGAGACTTTTCTTGTTTATTGATATGTCCTGTATTGCTCTAAACTTTCCTCAGAATTCTGATTTTGTTCCATTTAGCAGAATTTGATAGTTCTTCTTTGTTGTTGTTATTGGACTCCAGGTAATTTGTTATTTCTCCTTGATTTCTTCAGTGACCCCAAAGCTAGTTAGAAGGATGTTGTTTAGTCTTCCTGTATGAGGCTTTGTTGTTGTTGTTGCTGATTTCTTCTCATATCATTGTGATTAGAAATGACACTTAGGGACTAGAGGGATTATGAAGTGAATAAGGCACTTGCCAACCAGGGTTCAATCCCCAGCAACCCATATGCTCCCTGAGCACCTCCAGGAATAATTCCTGAGTGCAGAGCCAGGAGTAAACCCTGAGCAACACCAACTGTGACATAACAACAAACAACAAAAACAAAAGGAAAAAAAAGGAAGAAAGGAGGGAAGGAAGGAGCGGGGCAAGGAGAGTAGGAGAGAGGGAGGAAGGGAAGGATGGTGGGAAGGAATGGAGGGAGGGAAAGGAAGGAGAAAGGATAGAAGGAAGGGAAGGAAGGAATACCTGAGGGACCAGAGAGGTTAGAGGTTAGTATAGAGGTTAGGGTGCTTGCCTTACATATATCCACCCAGGTTTGATCCCTGGCATTTTTGATTGGTGTTACGTTGAATCTGTAGATCAACTTGGGAAGAAGACATACAAATATATCCATAAAAACTCCAGTTTTGAAAACTTTGGTTGGGGTAAGGGGTGGTGAAGAGAGAATACAGTGGGTGAGTTATTTGCCTTGCATGCTGCTGATGCTGATTCATTCCCCAGTACCACTTATGGTCCCTCCAAGCATAGCTGGGAGTGATCCTGAGTGCACTCAAGAGGAAGTCCTGAGCACTGCCAGTTATTGCTGTCCCAGAATTTATTTTTATTTATGCACTGTGATATTTCTCCAATTCTTTACATGGTCTTTGATTTCCTTCATTGCTGTTTTGTAAGTAAAGTAAAGTAAAGGCCCTCCCGTTGTTCATCGATTTGCTCGAGCGGGCCCAGTAACGTCTCCATTGGAGACTTTGTTGTTACTGTGTTTGGCATATCGAATACGTCGCGGGGAGCTTGCCAGGCTCTGCCGTGCGGGCGAGATACTCTCGGTAGCTTGCCGGGCTCTCCGAGAGGGGCGGAGGAATCGAACTCGGGTCGGCCATGTTGGCTGTGTGCAAGGCAAACGCCTTACTGCTGTGCTATCGCTCCTATATATATCTTGATAATACGTTCTTAGATTTATATTTATTTCCTAGGTTTTGGTGCTATTATAAATTTGTCTCATAGTTTAAGTTTAATTTTCTAAAGTTTTGTTAAAAGTATATATAAATATAATTGTTTTATATGCCTAGTATCCTACACTCTTGCTAAACTCACCTATTGGATTTTTGATTTGGGGTCACACCCAAATCAAAGACTTCTCTTGGTAGGACCCAGCAGTACTCAAGGGCTATTCCCAATGCTCTGTGCTTGGGATGGGGCTTACTCCTGGGCCTCCAGCCTTTTATCTTAGTTTTTAAAACTTTCTTTGTAGGTCCTTCGGGTTTTTTATTTGGGTAATCCTTTTACCTGCAGATATAGACAAAGTTATTTTTTTTTAATCTGTATCCCTCTTCTTTTTCTTGCCTCATTGCACTATCTAGAACCTCCAGTCTGATGTTAAATCAGAGTAATGAGAGTGTAAATATCCTTTCTTTATTTTTAATCTTGGTAAAACATTCAGGTTTCACAACCAAATATAATATCTAAGTATCTCTACGTTATATATATATATATATAGATACACTCTTTATCATAGATATATAGAATTTAAGATAAAGATACATTTGGGGGTGTGTACAGATCTGATACTTTCAGAACTTCAGAGGAATAATTTCAGAATAAGAACTGTTGTTTTTTTCATGCTGTCACAATCTGTGCCTTCTAATTGAAAAAAAAAATGCCAAAAGCACCTAATAAGAAAACCCAGTAATCCAGCCTTTCTGGAAAACAATATGGACAGACCTTCAAAAACTAGAAATTGAGCTTCCATATGACCCCACAATACCACCTCTGGGAATATATCCTGAGGATGCAAAAAAGCAAAGTAGAAATGACATCAGTACCTATATGTTCATTGCAGCACTGTTCACAATAGCCAAAATCTGGAAACAACCCAAGTGCCCGAGAACAGATGACTGGTTAAAGAAACTTTGATACATCTATACAGTGGAATGTATAGATGTAGCTGTTAGGAGAGATGAAGTCATGAAATTTGCTTATGAGTGGATAGATGTGGAGAGTACAATGAAACGAGTCAGAAAGAGAGGGACAGACATAGAAGGACTGCACGCATTTATGGAGTATAAAATAACATAACATGAGACTGACACCTAAGGATAGTAGATAACAAGACAGGAAGATTGCTCCATAGCTGGAAGCCTGCCTCATGGGCAAAGGTGAGAAGGCAGCTAGAATAGAAAAGGGATCACTAAGAAAATGATGGCCCGAGAAACCAGATGGGATGGGAGATGTGTGCAGAAAGTAGATAATAGACCAAACATGATAACCTCTCAGTATCTGCATTGCAAACCATAATACCCAAAAGTAGAGAGAGAGCATGGGGAATATTGTCTGCCATGAAGGCAGGGGGAGGGTGGAAAGGGGAGTATACCGGGGATATTGGTGGTAGGGAATGTGCACTGGTGGAAGGATGGATGTTTGATCATTGTGTGATTGTTACCCAAACATGAAAGCTTGTAACTATCTCACGGTGATTCAATAAAATTCAAAAAAAATAATCAAACTCCTTTAAGAAAAAAGAAGAAAACCCAGTAAATGACAGAAAAGTAAGTGACAGAAATCCTAGATTTCAAGTAAATACACAGAAAAGAACTTCTCTGTGGATCACGAGTCTACTAAAAGAGGAATTAGTTGCATTATACTATCACTAACATGGAATAAAGAAGGTTAGCTTTTTGGAAGACTTCAGTCAGAGCTCATTTTTCTCACACTTCAGACTCACCTGATGAGTTGTTTTCTTTTCCCCTGGTATAACTGTCAAAAATAATTGGTATCCAGAAAACCTTGTAAAACTTGTTCTAATTAGAAGTGCTTGATACTGCTTCCTTATGCTGTCAGGTGGGTGGGAGTGCACCAGGTGGTACTCGGGCTACTCCCAGCTACTCCCAGTTTGGTACTTGGGGCTCACTCCTAGCAATTCAGGGAAGATTGTGTGGTACCAGGGGTTAAATGTCAGGTTTGTATATGCTAAGGTTGTGCTCCAGACTTTAGAACTATCTCTCCAGCCTCATCTGTCAAATATTTTATCCCATTTCTCTTCCCACCCCATTGTCCAATATGATTTGTTTTGTTTTGTTTTATTTTGTTTTGCTTTTTGGGTTACATCCAGCAATGCTCAGGGGTTACTTCTGGTTCTGCACTCAGGAATTGCTTCTGGCTATGCTTTGGAGACTATATGGTATGCTGGAGATTGAACTCGGGTCAGTTGCACGCAAGGCAAACACCCTACCTGCTGTACTATCTCTCCAACCTTCAGTATGTTCTTAAAGATCACCCATAACCTACAGATTACCAAACTCCATTGATTATTCAGTCATGATACCATTTGTGTTTTACATAGTTTTGAATTTATTAATGACTCCCCTATCTCTCTCTGTGTCTCTGTGTCTCTGTCTCTGTCTGTCTGTCTGTCTGTCTGTCTGTCTCTCTCTCTCTCTCTATTAATCCTTCTGGGCATTAACTGCATTGTTTCTTAAAACCTTACTCTGTCTGTCTGTCTGTCTGTCTGTCTGTCTGTCTGTCTGTCTCTCTCTCTCTCTCTCTCTCTCAATCCTTCTGGGCATTAACTGCATTGTTTCTTAAAACCTTATTGTCCGGTAACTTCAGATCTCAAGCCACCCTTTCTGTGTGTACTCCATCAATACTGCCCATGCTGCATTGTGTTGGGTATTGTCCCTGTCATCTCTACAAGATGATAAGTTGTTAGAGACCAGGAATATTTCTCATGCTTTGTTTCATAGAACCCAACATGGTGTGTCCAACATATCGATAGGTTCATGAAAATGAAAATCAAAGCTAACAATTTATTGAGTACTGCCCAGAGAGGAAGAACAGTGTTACCAGAAATTACTGTTTCATACATGAGGTAATAGACTTACAGACATAACTATTTTGTTTAGAATAGTAGTCACCTATTATATGTCAAGACATATATTTGTTGAATGAATTAATAACAACGTGTCACTTCAAGAACAGGGTCTGTAGAGATAGTACAGCAGATAGGATATTTGACTTTCAAGTTGTCTACTGGGTTCAATCCCTGACACCCCATATGGTCTCCAAAGCATCTGTCAGCATGATCCCTGAGTGCAGAGCCAGGATTAAGCTCTGAGCACCACTGAGTGTGGCCCCAAAACAAAAATGAACAGTATTATTGTTAAGTAATAAAGGTACCTTAGTAAATCTGAAGTTGTTAATATCAGTGTTGGATGTGTCACCCACCTGGTGATGCTCAAGGGTTACTCCTGACTCTGTACTCAGGAATTACTCTTGACAGTGCTCACGGGACTAAATGAGATGCCAGGGACCAAACCTGGGTCAGCTGCGTGCAAGGCAAAGTACCTTACCCATTGTACTGTCACTCTGGCCCTGCAATATTATCAATTATGACATGATACATTTGAAGAATTTAATGTTTGGGGGGTTTTTTTTGGTTATAAATATTGATTTTGTATGCATTAATCATCAGTCTCCCATTTTAGATTTCTCAATTTCTCCTAACTTCTTTATCAGTTATGAATGGTTGCTGTTATAATGTAATGTCCCTCATATCATCCTTTATCTAATACAGAAGTACTAATACTTGTATAGGCATCAGAATTGCTTTGTTAAAACACTGTTGAGCCCCATGCCCAAGATTTTTAACTGATGGAAGCTTATATAAATGTACATTTTTCTGTATTCTGCTGGCCAGGTGACCCATGTAAACAACTCCAGGAACCTTCTATACTCATATTCATACTGTTGTATTCTGCTGCACCAGGTCCCTTCCCCACATTTAGCCTATTCATGGAAATACAATCTAATGCCATTATATATGAGGTGAAATTAATTGTTATAAAAGACCCTTCTTCTCTTGGAAGGCTTCTGGCCATCTGATTAAGCCAGTGAAACACAAAACAAGCTTTGAAATAGGAATGAGATAAGAGGTTGCCTTGTCTTTACATGACCCAAGGCAAGTCCCAGCTAATGTTTCTTCACATAGAGAGGACCCAGCATGGATCCTAGTTTCAGATTTTCTGTTCCCTCTGAAATGTGTATTTAAGCAGTTGATTCATTACACCGAACAATATATGAAAAATGGCCTTCATCCTGACCATATAGTAGACTGTAAAAAAGATTATTTATTCATTCTCATTTTATGCTGATGAAATCTTAAAACTGTAGCTGCCATCTATTTCCTAATTCAATAATTCTTTTATTGTTAGTTTGCCTTAGAACTCTTTGACCCCTAGTAAGAAAGTGCTTCTGTTTAGTTCTTTATTAAATGAAACCATGGCATTTTATTGTTCTTAAGAATTATCCACACTAATATCAACACATTTCAAAAAGACTAATGAAGAGTTTTAAAAAATTTCTCAGAGCCAAAAAAGACAGTACAGAGGTTAAGGTATTTGCCTTGCATGAGGCTGTGGCCACAAATCTGGTTTGGATCTTTGGAATTACATAAGGTCTCCTAAAATACCACCTGGTGTGGTCTGTGAGCACATAGCCAGTAGTTGCCCCTGAGCACCATTGAGCTTCCCTTAGAAAAATATATTCTCACTTAGTTACAACTGAGTTCTCATCTCAGAATAAATCCAATTAGGCCTGTTGGAAAAGTGAGCACTGCTAAGCACCTTGTAAACAAGTGGGGGGTAGAAACAGATGTGATATTGTTCCTCACAGTTAAGTTCCTCACAGTAACAAATGTAGATGGTACTAATGGTAAAGCAGTGGAGAGGTAAGAGTGTGGAAACACTTGGGGATTTATATAATGTAGAAATACACAGTGGAAACTTTATTCCAAATAAAAATCTCTGAAGGAAATACATCTCACTTAATACAGACTTCTGTGAGTCACTGGATCAAACCCCTGGCAAACTTCCTTCATTACTGGGGCAAGAGAGGGTAGAGTTTTGACTAAGTAGGTTTTATACACACAAACTCTTCTGAATAAACTTTTTTAAAGGGGGTATGGGGGTAGAAGTGAACATCAAAGATCTCTTTCTGTATCCAAAATACTTAACTCTCTAAAGAATCTTCACCTTTTCCCCCTAGACTGGGAAAAGACAGTTAGAACAAAATTTCAACTCAGGGCTGAAGCAATAGTCCAGCAGGTAGTGTATTTGCCTTGCACACATGAGTTCAGTTCCCACCACCAACTCATGTTGGCCTCTAAGCCCTGCCAGGAGTCATCACTGAGCCCAGAGCCAGGATTAAGCCCTCAACACTGCCAGATGTGATGCTCTACCATTACCCGCCCTCCCCCTCCCAAAAAAAATAACCAACTCTTATTTAAACCTGTAAACTAGGAAGACAGAGAGATAAGACAGAATTAAGGCTCATGCCTTGCATGTGACTAACTCTATTCTGATCCCCAGCACCACATGGATATAGTCCAGGTAATCCCTAGCACCACAGGACCTGAGTAGCACTGGGCCCTCACATTGAACTATAGTCCAGTGGTTGGCCAAGAGGAGATCTCTGGCCTCCTCAGCACTGCTTGGGAACCCCCTAAATAAATAAATAACTCAGTAAAGTTGGAAGACCTTTCTGGCAGAAGAAAGAAGAGAAGGTAGTTTCTTTTTGGTTTTGGGCCACACCCACTGGTGCTCAGGGCTTACTTCTGGCTCTGTGCTCAGAGATCTCCTGGCAGAGCTCAGGGAACCTTGAAGTTCAGGAAATCGAACCTTGGTCTACCACATGCAAGCCCTTCCAGCTGTAATACCTCCCCAGCCCAAAGGTGGTTTCTTAGTGTTGTAGTTGAGTTCCTGCCTTCCACAGAATTTATTTGGTACAAGAACGAAATCTGAAAGCACTTTCCCATCATCCTCACCTTCATAGAGGTTGGATTTCCCATGTTTCAGAGATCAACATGGATTTACAAATTCTCTACTCTCTTCTAGGTGGAAGCTGAACTGATTGACAAATTGGACAGCATGGTGTCAGAAGGGAAAGGAGACGAGAGCTACAGGGAGCTCTTCAGTCTTCTGTAAGCTGCTTCAGCCCCAGATACACCACATGGGGGGGAGGGAGTAAACTGACCTAAGATGGTTTTGGGTGCAGTCTGCACTTGGCAGATCCTTGAGGATGAGTCTTAGGAGCAATTTTGGTTCTTACTAATGGTAGCATTAGCAACATGCTTCTATCAACAGGAACATGGCACTATGGTAGCAAGCCAATAAGCAGGCAAAGATTGCCATAGTTGTCTGAAGAGATAAAGAAAAGTGGTTCATTATACTACTGTTTTTTGCTTATAAGAAAAAGGGTCAGGCTTTCTTTATAACACACTCTGTCCAGCTGGGCAAGTAGTTTATGGGAACTTAATGTTAGCATTTTTGTGAGTTAGAAAGAGGGACAGATAAATCCATGCTTTGTAAGGTGGTATAAAGAAGACCAGAAAGCATAAAGACTACCAGGGATACTCCATTTCCAAGTTAGTTTCCCTGTTTGTGAAATAGGGTGGTTGTATTGAATGAAAGCAAGGGTTCTTCCAGGTCCAACATTGATGTGTTCTGTCTCGAGTTGATGTGAGTCAAAAGGACATACCACAATATAAATACAAAGAATAAATTCAAGTGAGTCACAGTTCTCCCATTATATAATAATGTGGGATACTTCACCTGCAACATTTTTTGTTTTGTTTTGGGACTACAACCAGCTGTGCTTAGTAACTGGTTCTTCACCCAAGGATCAGTTCTGGTGGGCTCAGGGACTATATGGAGTGCCAGGGATCAAACTCAGTTTAGCTGCATGCAAAGCAAGCACCCTACCCCCTGTGCTACCACTCCAGTCCCTTAAACAATTTTTTTTCTTGGTTGGGGGGTGCCACACCTGATGGGGCTCAGGGATTACTTCTGGTTCTTCAACCAAGAATAACTCCTAGTGGGCTCAGGGGGATCATATAGGATGCCATGAATCAAAACCAGGTTGGCTGTGTGCAATGCAAGCATCCTATCCACTATACTATCTCTCCAGTTCCATCCAAAAAGTTCTTAAGGGATTTATAGCTCTAGAGTTCTCTCATTTCATTATTTCCAGTTTTGATATTCTCTTTGTTTTAATGCCATTTTGAAGAAAAGCCTGTAACATGGTTCCAGCAATAATACTATACATTTGCTTCTAACCTTACAGTATAAAATATATTGTTACTACCTAATACACTATACTTTGAGGTAAATAGAGAATATCCTATTCTGGTTAGTAGAAATGAAACAGAGCTCAAAGTGGTAACGTGTTCTCAGGTTCATGATCAGTAAGAAGCAGCTCTGAGAGGAGGATCTAGGTCTTCCCATTTCAAGAGGAGGGAATCTTTTAATTGCACTATACCTAGTTTGTTCTTTTATGGGTTGTGAACCACAGTATGAAGTTACTTGAATTTTAAATAATTTAAATTTATAAAAATGAATCTACCACTTAGTGTTTATCTTTTGATCAAGATATTTCTAATTGTGGAAATAAAGCAGAAGTATCTCTTCCTGAGCCACTAACAGATGATATTACTATAAAGAAAAATACAAAAATAGCTTTTAAATTTTTCAAATTAAAATAAAAAATAACTAATTACAAATTATCTGACCAGATTTCATAAAGTCTTTTAAAATTGTGTCTGACAACTGAAAGCAACTCATAATCTTCCCAATTTATGTTTTGCAAAAGATGTATGTAGTCTTTTTTAAAAAAAATAGTACGTGATGGGCTTGATTTAGAAGATTCAATTTTAAAAATCTGGAAAGCTGTCTGAAATGTAGGACTTCTCAAAGTCTTTAATACGCAGAAGTATGTGAAAGATCTCCAAAAGGAGAGCATAGTAGCCATACTTTCCATGCTAGTTTGCTCACAGAACATCTCTCCCTATCCTTCAGGACTACATTACCCTCTAGTATACAGTTTCTAGAAATGTTAAGAGTGACTTCATCTTTATAGATTCTGCCTTCTCTCCAGCATCATCAGTCGCATGGGATACTCACTTTCCCAAAAACCTCAGTTCAGACTAGATGCAGCATTGACAACAAGGCTGTAGGAGTAAAGCCCCCCTACAGGAGACTTTCATACCTGACAGACAGGTAAAAGAACCTAGGCTCATAACTAGAGCAAGAAGAGCCTAGTCCTAATTCACTAAGAGAGATATCAGAAGTTAGGCTCTCAGTGGAATAGGCTGGCAGTTGATAAAGGACCTGCACATGTAGCACTTGACTCTGACATTTTATTTTGGAGCATCCCTTGAAAGTGAAAATAACTAAATGTGGCTACTCATTATCCCTCATTCTGGAAACTTGAGGCTGGTAGAAATTTTCCCCTTGATTTACAGGTAAAGATTGGCTTGTATGTTTGCGGAGGATGGGTCTAAGCAGTGATAGTGGCAGACAAGCCATTGTAAAAGCAAGGCCCAGCCATCCAAGGGCTCTTTACTCAGCTGCTGTGTCAGAGTAAAGCTTACACCTACAGTAACTAGAGGTTTTAAATCCCTCCCTCGGTCTAGTTACATCTTTAGAAACTTGTACAGAAAAATATGTACAGAAAAATGTACAGGAAAATACGGTCATTTATTGCTGCCAGTTCAATAATCACCTTGTCTTTGCTTTCTGCTGCATGGAGTAGAACCCAGCTGTTTGGGCCCTACCCCAGGTAAGACTGCAGTGTGGTAAGTCTGCTGTCTCCAGATCCATCACGGACCCCAGGGGCTCTGGGACCTCACTCATGCCCAGAGACAGCTTAAGAATTATGCATTGTATTTCTTTCCCTCACCCTCCCAATAGCCTCCTGGAGAAGGTTGAACAAGAAACATGGCGTGAAACTGGCATTTCCTTTGTGACCTCTGTCACCCGCCTCATGGAACGCCTTCTTGACTACAGGTATTACCTCAGGCCCTACTTGACCACTTCTCTGGTCATAATACTCCCTCCCATAAAGGGTATCTCCTGATCTTAAATCCAAGATCAAGTGCCATTCAGGAGGAGAATTGATCTGGTGTTGGGTGCCATCACTAATTATAGGATTCTACTGATAGCCAAGGAGAGAAGAAGACAGCATTATCAAAGGGGTAGGTCAAAGTTTCTGTGATTCTCCTTGATAAATGAGTGAAACTATTCAGTAGGCATTTCAGAAACTTGCAGCTGACTTTCTAGTAAGAAAATTCTTGACTCAAAAGAATAAATGCAAAAGATGTATGAGTACCAGTTAATTTTGTGAACACCACAACCAAATGTACAAAATGCATGGATGTGAGTGCTATGACTGTGAGAACCCCCCCATACACCTTAGCATACATTAGCATACCTTAGACACCTCTGCCTTGTTCTGGAGACAGTATGAGAAAGACTGTCTCCAGAACAAGGCAGGACAACCGTGTCCTCAGTTCAGACTTCAGAGCCTTGTGAACGTGGGCGGAGAAGGTAACCTAATATAGAAGGTGAACCAGGAGGACTTTTAGCTAAATATTTTGAAGACTGAGGATCCCACTTTTCCCTGCCTCTATTCTTTCCCTATAGTCTATTATTTTACTTTTTTCCTAGCCGTGAGCAGATTAGTAGAATAATCTTACATGCTCAGAGATATTTATTCTATGTTTAGTCTGATAGTTCAGTGAAATTATTTTTATCATGAAAGTGTGCCATGCCTTCTCAGTCATATTATGACTTTTGAATTACTCCAAAATGACTGTGAAGCTACTGCTGTATTCTCTCCGTAGGTTTCTGATGGATGACTAGGTGTCCTTTAGTGCCAAGAGAAAAATAATAGGAATAAAAAGAAATAATGAGAATACAGTACCAACAATCATAGTTGGATCCTTTCTCTACAAGACATGCAAACACCACTGGAAAGGTTTTTAACCCATGGGTCAAAGAATGAAGAAATTTGGGTCACCTCCACTTGCTGCCATATAGAAGGTTCTGTATGCCAAGATTTCTATCCTGCAGAAGACTCAAATGTCCAATGTACTGACCTGGATATGGTATTGAAATTCCTGAAAAATGTGTTCCCATTTTGAGCATCCTTTCTTCCTGTAGACAGTTATGTTTGTGTAAGCTTTATCTTATTTTTCCCTGTATCTTATGAACATGGCCTTTGTTGGGACATTATTAATATAAAGAATCCTTTGTTCCCCTTTCTCTCCTTAACCTGCCCTCAGACATCGAGAAAGAAGGGAGAAAGCACTGTAACTCCTCCTCACTACAATGTTTAGTAAATTTTGACCCTATGAGAAAGAGCAGACATTTTCTTAAGCTCCAAGATCTTGTTCTAGCTGTTTACAACTTGATTTCTCTATCTACTTTGCACATGCAACTCAAAATCACACTCAAAATCTATACCATTCTCCTCTATTTCTTACCTTAATTGTGATTCCTACAAAACAAAGTTCAAATTCTTTCCCAGTACATCAAAGCCTTTCATAAGCAGGCCTTTGCCTACCTCCTGCCAGTTCCCATACGCATGCCCTGTACTCCACCCTTCCAGTAATCCTTTTGATCATGAAGCACCATGATATTTATGCAAGTTATCATCTCTTTAAAATACACCAGGTTTTCTGTGTTGGAAACCTCATCTCTCCTCATCTCTCATCCCCGTTAGCAGACCTAGAGAATTGTCCTTGTTTTGACCAGTGAGGTAAGAGCATTAATAAGAAGTGCCATTTCCAAAATTTGAACACCAATTTATCTGGCCCAGGCGCAGTGCCTAATGATGACTCCTTCCATGTTTCCAGTACTCACAGCCTTCTTCTTATGATATGTCCTCCCAAGAGTGGCCTTCCAACCCTCTGCATCAAGGAGGTTTCCCAGACAAAAACTTTATCTGGTTCTTGGTGAGCACCTTATTCAAAGTGGTGATTTGTCATTTGGATGGTGGTGATTTGTCACTTTTCTGACTAGTCCAAACAGAGGAGAGCCAGATTCTTAAGGATATCTTGTCCATATCTTCCTTAACCCCTTCATGGATATTTGATGTTCCCCAACGGGGCACAGTACAGATTGGCTAATTGGTTAAATTTACTGGGAAGAAGTATCTTCTACCCCAATGCAGTTCAATAAAAACTTACTAAGAAAATGAGGCCCAGGGTAGATAGCCTGCCTGATTTTCAAGTCTGATTCTCTACACTGCTTCACATGCCAAGTGTGATACTGGCATCACTCTCCTTTGGGTTTCTTGGCACCACAATAAAAAGTATGAAATCTCCAATATACTACAACCAAGTATGTGTGCACTGAAACTAAAGTATATGATCCACAATGAGTCATTTACTTTATGAACACCACAACCAAATGTACAAAATGCATGGATGTGAGTGCTATGACTATGAGACCGACCCTCCCCCAGATACCTTAGCAAGTGCAAAGTGCATCTTCTGACTGCACACAGTAATGAAAATTACAAAGGCATGGGGAAAGGAAAGAAAGAAAACTAAAAAGTAGAGAACAATTTAAAAATTAAGGGTTTTTTTTGGCTTTTTTAATCACACCGGCAATGTTCAGGACTATTCCTGTCTTTTCACTCATAAATTACTCCTGGCACTTCTCAGGGGGACTGTATATAGGATGTTGGGGACTGAACTGGCTTGACCATATACAAGGTAAATGCCCTACCTACTGTACTATCACTATGGCCCCCGTGTACTGTCAGTGCTGTAAGTTCACACTGCTAGCATTTCTGATGCTTTTAATTTTTTTTTTATTTTTTAAAATGTTGTTACTGGCATTTCAGTGTTTATGTCCTGTGGAAATCTTAGAGGCTCATGTAAGAAATTAGCCTTCAAGGATGGTAGGGGAAAACTTAAATTTAGATTATATTCCTCTAAGTTTGTAAGGTTTGTATCAATCTAAAATTGAGTCTCACACTATTGGTCCAGTTTATTCTGGAGTACAACACATTGATCATTGTATAAACAAGGTGTCATTTTTTAACCTTAAGCAACTATTTTCATATAAGCTCTTTCCCTTTTTCCTTTCCTTTGCTGTTGTTGGGCTGGGGATTGCACACACTTGGTTGGTGTATGCCAAGGGCTGCACTTGTAGGGAGATGCAAAGTAACAGTCTGTTGGCCTCACACATGTAAGGCAAGTACTCTACCACTGAATCAAACCCACACACTTTTCTTCAACTTTTATGTTAATGTCTTTAACTTTCGGGTAAATCCCAAACATTTTATCAGATCTAAAGGTGCTCGTTGGTAGCAGTGGTATTTCCCATGTAGGAAGCAGAGCCCTAAAAACCTTTCCTTAGTGCCCTAGAACAGTTACTGGAGAAGAGAGGGCTTCTAAACCCTTCAAGTTCTAAGTGGAACCTCCACTTGGAAGAAGCAATTGAAAGTTAAGGAGACTTCCTTTCCTAAACCCCTCCAGTTAACACTGAGAGCTACTTGAATACTGGCCACATTCAGCCCCCTGTACACAGCCATGCCAGATCCTCCAAATGCCTCTTCAAGGATAATCTTCATGCCGATCTCCAGAGAAGAAATGAAAAGGAAAGCCTTGGCTATGCCCAGCCCAGAGAATTTAAAATTGTCTTCTCTGTTTAACAGAAGAGAAGTCTGCTCTTAGCAGTGCAGGGAGGAAGCAGCCGTGGAGCAGTGGGACATGCGGGAGTATCCCTGGCATCTCACTGTGTGGTAGCTAGTGCCTATTTTGTTGGTTTGGCTATTATGTTCTGGTTTTGGGCAAACAGACAGCAGTAACTAGTAAATGTTTCAGATTATTTCTAGAACAAATCAAAATAACTAGATGAGAGTCCATTTCCCTTCATTAAGCCACTTAATCAGATAGACAAATTCCTCCTGCCATATGTGGGCTTCTTGAAACAAGCTGGTACTTAAATTTATTCCTCTTGAAAAGTCACAGAAGCATCATATAATAGCATGAAAAGACAGATTGTAAAATGGCATGTTACAGAAGATCCCCTCTCCATCTACAGGAAACCAAATGCCTTATAAGCTTATGAGGAAACCCAGAAAGAAGAACCTGTTCAGAACCCCCACATAGCTATCAACTCTGACAATAAGCTTTCTCCCATCTCTGTGGATGAAGGACACTTGGCTTAACAGAATACTAAAAGAGTGGTGTGGATTTTTACTATCTCTTTCAAAGAAGCCACCCTTTTGTGTACTGAGATGTATCTGGGAAGGTGGGAAATAACTGTCAAATGACAGATCAATGGTTTTGGTATAGGGCGCCCGATTCTTCTCACCTGTGATAATCATCACAACTGTATCTGTCAGTGAAATAAAATCAAGATATACTCTATCACACCTTAGTGATCCATAAACCCCCTTATGTAACCTTTCCCCTTATGTAACCTTTCCCCAGAGCTGTACAAAGAATATGGTATAAAGAATTCTGACTCACCAAAGTGTGGAGTGCCATGGAAAGAGATCTAGCCGGCAGATGGTAATCTGGCTGGATGTGTGTATATAGGAGACTTCTTACTAGATGTACCAGTCTAGTCCTCTTTTGCCTTCACTCTTTATACCTCTCTTCCTACTCTGAGGAGCTTGTTTTTTTGACCACTCCCTTTCTCTCTTTTGGGAAGGATTCATTCGCAAAGTCCCCCTCTTCCCGTGACTCATAGACTAGCTCTGACCCCTTCTATTACCAGTCCTTCTAGGCATGGGTCAGCTAGTTCAGCTGTAGATGAAGCTCCTCCTAAGCTAGAAAGTAACTCAAAACCTAGTGCTTCTAGTTAGAGGCGTTTTCAAAGACTTGTACATAGTAGGAGAACATAGAAAAAGATAAACCAGTGTGCTGGTGAACATGGTGATCAAGCCAGTAATATGCTGAAGGTGTTTTCTGGAGAAGAACATCTTGATTTCTATATAACACAGTCCTACTACAGACATCCCTTTATGGGACATTCTGTACCTCCACTTTTGGGAGCTTGAGGATTCATCCTTCTACTTCACCGATACACTCCTTAAGCCAGGTACATTGGTATAGTACCATTTAATGCCCTGAGATAGCATCTGGTCTCTAATTTCTGTCCTCAGAACACAGGATTCAGTTAAAGAGATGGGCCCAAGACTCAAAAGAAACTGAGAGTACAGTCCTCCTGAGAAAGCAGTTCCTGTTTACAAGCATCCTAATCTGAACTTTGGTCATATGTAGGCCTATGCAGACACTACAGTTTAGTGTGTTGTCCTATACTTCCTGCCAGGGACACTCATCTGTGCTTTTCTTTCCAGAGACTGTATGAAAGGAGAGGAAACAGAAAATAAGAAGATTGGCTGCACTGTTAACCTGATGGTAAGAGGAAATAGGCTCTTCCTCCTGTTTTCCTAATAGGAAAGGTTACAGATCCTCGCTGTGATTGGCTTGGTCTTTGTACTAGAAATTACTATAAGTCTAAGACTTTGGTCAGTTTTCTTACCTGTATCTTAGATACCTGTACTTCATCAGTTACTTCACTGCGTGGGTAAGGAGTAAAATGAGCTGCTTTTTGGACAGAACTCTAGCCTGGTCTCATCAAGGTCTACCAATCCTGATACATCCTAAGACTCAGTATTCTCTGATTTCCTCTCTACCCTAGTACTCTTTCTCTTTCTCATTATTCATCTCCCACATATCTGCCAGTACTTATATCTCCAGTATATGTGCCTTTCAGTTGGTCCTTTCTCTGGTGCTGTGTACCTCCATAGCCCACCTTCCCCCTCCTGCCCAGCACACACAGGGCTTTACCTGCCCAGAGCTCAGCTATGATCACTACAAATGGAAAGTTTTCTCTTTTTTTAATAATTTCCTATTAAAATGACCATTCTTTGACATTAAATTTTTTTTGTATTAAATCACTTGAGATAAACAGTAACAAATTTGGCCATAATTGGGTTTCAGTCATACAATCTTCCAACACCTTTCCATCCCTTCACCAGTGTACATTTCCTACCATCAGTGTCCCCAATTTCTCTCCTTCCACCCTCACCCAGTAACTCTCTTATTTTTATGTGTATTTCTTCTATCTTACAGAACTTCTACAAATCTGAGATTAACAAAGAAGAGATGTATATCCGCTACATTCACAAGCTTTGTGACATGCATTTGCAAGCTGAAAACTACACAGGTAAGTTGGGGAGAGCCACACCTCATGAGAACAGACTGGACATGTATAACAGGCTAGTAGAGCAAGACTCTAGAGTGCTGCCTCCCAGATCTTTGTAAAACATCAGAATCCATGCCAGTTCACTCGCTGGTGGTTGGAGAATGCTGTTTTATAATACATAATGGAGAAAAACAGGGAGAACACCTACTTATGTCCCATACACACATATTAAGAAAGTTTAATGCCTCTGTGAAAACAGAGTCCTTTCAGAAGTTGCAGAGTTACTTTGCTTACTGTCCACTTTCAGAAAAAAACAAAAATCACTCAGTGCCCTGAAATTTATTTCTTTAAGTACCCAATTGCACCCAAGACAATTTCACTACTTCTGCCTTGTAGATCAGGCCATTACCCCCCCAGGGAAGCAGAATCTTTCACTTTGGGAAACACTGCTTTATGTTAGTGTTTGATGTATATATTATCTTTCCTCACCCACAGCTTGACTTGGCATCTAAAATTACATCCAAAGATTATATCTTTATGTCCTGTTCTACGCATGACTCCTTGGGAAAAGAGTGATAGGCTCAGCTAGATTCCATGTATCAGGAAAAACATGTAGTAAGCTCCTGCAAGCTACAAATAAGAGGCCGAGTCAGGGTTTTAGATTGACAGGGGAAACAAAATTGTTTCTCGTATGTTTGAAGTGGCATGTAAAGGAATAATAGGCAGGAAAGAAAAATATTTTACACAGTTTTTTAAAGCTCCACCGAGAGGCCTTGAGTGCCTAAGGGGCTTATCCCCAGAGAGAAAGCGCTTTCCAAATCCAATAAATGTCCGTTTACCGTAGGGTAAATGGCCAGAGTATAGCAAAGATAAGGGAAGCCTAGAGAGTGACTACAGACAGTTGTGTGTAACTGGGAGTGAGGGTAGAACATCTACAAAGAGAGTCCAGTGGGTCGGGCACTTACCTTGCATGTGGCTGACTTGGGTTCAATCCCCAAAACCCCATATGGTCCTCTGAGTACCACCAGGACTCATCCCTGAGGGCAGAGCCAGGAGTAAACCCTGAGTACCATAGATTGTGACCCCTAAACTAAACTAAATAAAAATAATAAGATTAAACTGGGAGTTTAGCACTGCACTATAGCACTGTCATCCCGTTGTTCATCGACTTGCTCAAGCGGGCACCAGTAACATCTCCATTTGTGCCAGCCCTGAGATTTTAACAGCCTCTCCTCTCGTTTAAGATAAAATATTACAAATGTGATTTTTCATAGTCATAGGGAGCAATCTTAAATAGAACTGTGAAGACCAGATAGAAGCTGAAACTAATTAACTTGCTTATAGGAGATGCCCACTAAGAATGAGTAAACAGAATAGAAAAGAGAAGACTCTGTAATCAGGAACGTGGCTGTAATTCCATGTGACTCATTCCTTAGAATTTAGAAGCCACAATATTCAGTTGTATTGTTTCATATAATCCTGTTTCACACGTAAAGAGTAAAGTGTCACAGGACCACTGCCCTGGATCCAACATCAACTTTGGATTCTGCCATGAATAGAACTGCTGACTCCAGGCCCATTATGCAGTTACTATAATCCACACTCCTTTTCTGATCCTTTCAGAGATGAAAGGAAAGAATCAGTGCTGGGGCCAGGCTGACATCACAAAATACACCTGCAGACATTAAAACTGACTTAAGGAGATTCAAAAGGAGCCTTAGTGTTTACCTCAATAAGTCAGTTCTAAGAACTTTGGAAAGGAAGTCTCTAGTCAAGTGAGCATAAAATAGTTTAAAAGCTCTCTCTGCTATGTCAGTATCTTCCAAAGGTGGTAGCCTATGCATTCTCTTAGCCACACTTTATCTGTAGCTATAACAGCTAACCAGTCTGTGATAGAAGGGAGTCTATCAAGATTTTGACTTTTTCAAAAAAAAAAAAAAGATTTTGACTTTTTCTCCTTCATGCTGACTGTGGTTGAGGGTTTTTAGCAGACTGAGCCCCTCTCTCTCACTTTTGGTACTCTGTGTCCCTGACTAGAGCTTCATATATGCCCTGGTATGCTGTTTACTTAGCCCAGTTCCCTGACACCAGATTGTTCTAGAACCCCTCAAGAGAAGTATCTGGACCTCCATATTGCCTATCTTCACAGAGGCTGCTTTCACTCTTCTCCTTTACTGTGAGCTGCTGCAGTGGGAGGAACGGCCACTACGGGAATTCCTCCACTACCCATCCCAGACAGAGTGGCAGCGGAAAGAGAACCTATGTCGCAAGATCATCCACTACTTTAACAAAGGCAAGGTACGTGCCATCAGGCAAGCCTTTGGGCCCCTCAGCATCTGCTATAATGCATGATTCTGGCAGTGCCCCTGCTGCAAAGGGTGGTGTGTAAGGCAGAGAGTAGGCGATGTACAGATTTGTATCAGATTTACTCTGGGATAGAGTGGAATAGCAAGTTAATACTGCAGCCTGAAAAAGAGTTCCAGAAGGGAGGTATAAGAGACAGTCTTACATACTGTCTTTGAATATCTGTAAATGCTAATGCTCCTATGGCAGGAACCTTTGGGCCCTGCTTATGGTTAATAGTTTTACTTAAAGAATAGAGGGAACTTTTTAAATCTGTCACATAAAATAGAATTGTAAGAATGAATGAATTTCTGTCATGGCCAGGGGGATTTGTACCATCTCTTACTAATGTTATTTTAGATTTCTTTCCCTCGCAGTACACTCTGGGCTTTTTTCATTGGAGTTGTTCTTCTCCAACTTGTTTCTGTGGGATGGGTAAGCATTCTCAGCAATAAGCCAGGTTTTCTTGAAGCTTTCTGGCTGTCCTACCCCATCTCTAGGAGAGTTTCTTGTAGGTCTGACTCACACCCTGGGAAGTCTGGGAGTATATAATTTGTTGGAACTATCATCTCATTGTCCAGATATGCATATTTGGTTCCAACACCCGTCCTTCACCTATGTACACTTCCCACTACCAGTGTCTCCAGTTTCCCACCCACCAATCCTCCTATCCCACCTCTCTCTCTCTCACTCTCTCTCTCTCTCTCTCTCTCTCTCTCTCTCTCTATTCCTCCATCCCTTCTTCCTCCTTCCTTCCTCTCCCCACCTCCTGGACATTGTGGTTTTCAATATAGGTACTGAACAGTTAAACATATATATTCTTTTACCTACTTGTCACACTCAGTTCATGTCCATTTGACCATGTTTTTAAAAAACACAAAGTAAGATCATTCAGAGAAGTATAGTGGCTAAGGCCCAAAGTGTAAATTTGTCCTTGAGGATGTTTTTAAGCATTGTAGAGGCACAGCAATGAAAAGGAAGCCCTGTAAAGTGGCCAGGGCCCACCATGACTGCACCTGAGGATTCTTGGGCAGTTTGTGGTGCCCCGGGGTCAAACACATGGTCAAACACAGGTCCTCATGAATGGCATGTGTACTACCACCGAAATCACATCGTTGGTCCTGGAAATTTTTGCTTTTTCTTTCTTGTTTGGGGAAAGAAAGTAGTACACAGCCAGTGGCGTACTCATGGATCTGTGCTCAAATATCAGTTCTGGTGGGGCTCAGGGACCATATGTGGTACCAGGGATTAAATCTAGGCCAACAGCTTTTGAGGCAAACACCCTGACTGCTGCACTATTGCTCCAGCCCCTAATGACATTTTCTATTATGTAAAAATATTGAAATTTGAGAAAATTTGATGACTGAGACTTGTCATGTTCTTGTTTTGCAAAAGCACAATGTCTAACTTTGAGTTGAGAAAATATTTAACATCTACCTTTTTGTTCATTTTAGTACTCTAAAATGCTAGTATCAGTTGCAACAAATACTTATATACTGCTTTAACTCAGAACTTCAAGAGCTAAAAAATTCAGTTTTATCATCTGCACATTTTTTCAAATAAATCTGTACTGAAGAAGTTAACGACTTTTGCCCACAAATAAGAAGCATCTATTAATTTTACATAACATAGGCAACTTCTGTATTTGTCAAAAATATTTGACCTTTAAGGGACTACACCTGGTAAGTAAGAACCTTTCCCAGACCATTTTGGTAAACAAGCACTGCTCAGCTCTTAGCCAAACACATGCAGTGGCTCTATAGTGCCAGCTGAAAGCCTTCTCTCCTTGCTAGACCAGGATTGTCCTTATGGTCCCATACTCGCAGACTTTCAGGTCTGTCTTCATGTCACCTATCCGACTTGGCACTACTAATTACACATACCCAGCAAGTCTTTTCAGCTGAGAGAAAATGACTAAGCATGTAGGAGTGATTTTTGGTGTGCTAGTTCTCATTTCTCTCCATCCACACAGAGTAGAGAGCAATTCCAATCTGACTGTCTCTACTGTGAGACATGGGAACATGAATGTTAGTCACACACTGCAGTAGTATTTAGAACAGTGGCTTTAAATCATCTACAGACTGATGCTGGCTTCAAAAATGTTAGGCACCACTTGTTTAGAAAAGCACGATTAAAGCTTGGAGAATGATGTACAAGGTAATAATGAGTCGAAAAGGAAGGACTGGGAGCCTCCATAGGCTTTCTCCTTAGGGATCTTCTACTTCTTCCAACAACCCTACCTATGCTGTGAATTGCTGGGCAGATGGGCTCTATACTCAGTGCAGACAGTTTGGGGAGTCCTCCCATGATCTCATCCTCAAAGTGGTATTTACTAGATTTATCCTCTCGGACTCAATAGAAGGTCCAACTTCTCTGTTTCTGTTCTTCAGTATATGATAGAACCAGTGGATAGGACTAACCAGTTATTCATTTTTCCCCCTAATAAATGTTACTGTTTTAACAATTTCATGTTCTTCTGCACAATATACATCACAACACAAGATTTAAATTTTATCTGATTAACATCTAATTCATGTGTTTAATATATATATATTGATTGATTGATTCGTAATTAAGTCACCATGATTTACAAAGTTGTTCATAATAGAACTGTTTCATACATATAATGTTGCAATACCAATCCCACCACCAGTGTCCACAAAATCCCTGCCACCCCCTAGCCTACCCACTTGGTAGGCATATAACTAATTGTTAATTCTTGTTAACACATTGTGCGAGCAAAATTTTTGAGTTTTATAAACATTACCTTATAAGTACACATAAGATACTGATATCTTGAAAGTCCTTTTTTTTCCAGTGGTAGGATTTTATGCATAAAAAACATTCTAGCACTACCCGCTCCACCAGAGTATGTGTTTCACTCCACCATTGTCCCAGTGTCATCCCCACTGTTCTCCCCTCCTATTCCCAATCCCATAGCTTCCCCTCTCCCCCACTCTCATGATAGGCTTCATGCTAAAGACCATTTCTCAGTTTCTGTTGCCTTTGGCATTTGCTATTTCCTTGCCTTTTCCCTTTACATCCAACATGTGAGAGAGATCATTATGCTTCTGTCTCTCTTTCTGACTGACTTCACTCAACATTATACTCTCCAGATCCATCTACGTAGCAGCAGATTGCATGTTTTTATCTTTTCTTATGGCAAGTAGTATTCCATTGATATATGTACTCTAGTTTCTTTATCCAGTTATCTGTTCTGGACACTTGGGTTGTTTCCAGACTGTGGCTATTGTTAATAGTACCACAATGTACATAAGAATGCAAAGGTTTTTTTGTTTCTTTTTTTTTAATATAGGAGTACTGCTATTTATTCAGCCTTTGATTAAGCTGATTGAATTGGGCATGAATTCCACATTACTTTTTTTTAATTACCATGAGATTGAGTTATAAAGCTTTCACATTCGAGATTCAGCCGTACAATGATTGAACACCCATCCTTTCACCAGTGCACACTTTCCACCACCTGTGTTCCCAGTATGTCCCCCACCCCAATCCCAGTCCTCACTCTTGCCTCCATGGCAGGCAATTTCCCCAGTACTCTCTCTCTACTTTTGGGCATTATGTTTTGCTCGAATTTTCCCACCACATTCAAGCCTGCCTGCCAGGGGCAGATACTAGATCATTTATTGTCCACTGCTCATTTTGAATATCATGGGTGCTGCGGCTACACACTTCTTGAATCCTAGATTGTAAATGTTGGGTTCCAGAAACATTTCTGTAGGGCACTAATCCATTTTTGGATTCAGTTGGGCTTCTCTGGACCAGGGCTGTTGGTGTGCTAAGATGGTGCCCGGAGGCACATTGTGGGTGACAGCCAGGCCTATGAGCCAGTGGGGAGCCAGGAAGAGGCAGCCCGGCGCCTCTGCTGCCATGTAACGTGGAGATTTAGTCCTGGAACCCATAAACTTGGGCCTTGCTTGTGGCAGCTCTTGGTCGCTGGATTCCATCTGGAGTAGACAGGGAGAGTGCACCTCCTCCATCTGGAGTGGCCTGGTGAAATTGACTCAGTATGGGGCCCTGAGAGATCTCCGACTCTGTGGTGTCTTCCAGGACTTGCTCCTATGTCTCTGGACCAGGGCTGCAAGTTTGTTGTTCACCAACAGTGAACGGAGGTCCTATTTTCCCCACATCCACACCAACACTGGTTATTGGCTGTTTTTGTTGTTTGTGATATGTGCAGTCTCACTAGTGTGAAATCATATCTCATTGTTGTTGTTTTGATTTGCATTTCCCTGATGATAAGTGATACAGGGCATTTTTTTCATATGCCTTTTGGCCATCTGTATATTTTCTTTCAGGATGTTTCTGTTCAGCTGCACACACCACCTTCCCCCACCCCTGAAATTTCTATTTAAATTGCTTTGTTTTGGGGACACACCTGGTCGTATTCTCAGCTTAGTCCTGGATCTGCATCATTTGAGAAACAATGCAGCCCTAGTCTTCCCCCATTATTTGATGAAGTGATATTTTATTGTTGTTTTAATTTGCATTTCTCTGATGACAAGTGATGCATTTTTTCATGTGCCTTTTAGCCATTTGTAAATCTTCTTTAAGGAAGTTTTGTTCATCTCTTCACTCCACCTTTTGTAAAGTTCTAGCAGTGCTTTATAAATCTTGGATATTAATCCTTTAAGATGAGTGGTGGGAAAATATTTTCTCCCAGTCTGTGGAGTGCCTTTTTATAATGATTGTTTCATTTAAGGTGCAGAAGCTTCTTCATCCTCAACAATTCTTAATAAAAATTAAAATGTTACTAATAAATCATCTGAAATTAAGTATTAGTTGTATTAATTCATTAATTATATATTAAACAATCTGAAAAATTCAGAAGAGAACCACTATCATATCCAAGCAATGTCAGAATTTAAAAATATTCCCAGATATTAACTATAGCCCAGTAGATAAAACCAACCCTCAGGTCTCAGTGCACTTTG